ACTGACAGTGTGAGGGAAAATAACTCTGAGAGGAAAAGCAAGTTTATATATCGGGTTATGTGAGCAGCAGCAGCCGCGTGCTGGGGGAGCAGGGCAGGGGCTGGCGTGCGTGAGGGCAGAGGGACCTCGAGCTGCTTGTGCTGCCCTTGCTCAGGGCACGTGGGGAAGCTGCAGAAAGCAGGAAACAGGGAGGAAAGCACAGTGGGCACGAGCCTGAGCCGTGCTGGGACCCCTGGAGAAAGCTGACACTTGGAAATGCTCAAGGTCAGGCACTGGACAGGTGTCACGGTCTGATGGTTGAGAGCCTCACATGGCAGCAGCACATCCTATATCCCTCTGAAGCAAGCCACAAGTGGTGGGGGCTGCTCTGGCATCGCTGCCTGTGCGTCCCCTCTCTCTGGGCAGTGAACATGGACCTTGTTGCCCTCTGCCACTGGCCCTGTGGGCAGATCCAGCACTCCACACCTCTGTGCTGCTCCCTGTCCCGGGAACAACTCCCCACGGCCCCAGGCGCTCTGGCAGATGATCCCTGACCCAGGCAGGAGAGCTGCAGCTGCATCCCCAGGACTTCACAGGGATGGTCCCAGCACAGGGGGGAGGAGTAGTGAGCCCAGGCTGTGTGACACTCCACAGCAGCTGCAGGGAGGCTCTGCAGCAAGGCCATCCCAGATGCCACCAGGTGACTCAGTCCTTGGAGGGCAGAGAGGAGCAGCCCCACCTGCCCCACGCTATCTCAGCTGCACCATGCTCTGCCCATCCACAGGACTCAGTCAGCTCTTCCCTCCTGCACATCAGGTGCGTTGCAGTTCCTCTGCTCCCCTAAAGGAGGGCCCAGTTTGGGTACTGGGAGTCTTACTGCCTGCAGAGTGGATGTACAACAGGGGACTGGGTGGCCTGGGCTGGAGGACTGCTTGCAGGAAGCTTTCTTGACATCAGGTTTTGCTTATGGAGGACTCTTGAGCTTTCCAAGTGTCCAGCTGTTTTCTTGGGTTCAGCACTCTCCAGCTGGGCCAGAGCCCTGTCACTCAAATCCTGTCTTCAGGTGTGGGGTGTGAAGGCTGCGGCAGGAATGGTCTCCAAGGGTGATTTGTCAGTGTAAGAAAATCAGTCCTGTGTTCCTAACGTCTGTGTGCTAACACTAAAGTATAAAATACACCTTGTCCAAGCAGGCAGGGGATCGGCATCGGCTCTGCAGGGCAGGAAGGATGCATGGTGTACACTTCTCTGGGGCTCCAGGGCAGGGAGAGCTCAAAATGTGAGTGATAACATGTTCAGCCGTCATCCACAACCCTTCCACACCACAGCCTGTCCTACTCGCTGTCACTCTTGTCCACCAGTACCGTGTCGGTCTCCTCCGTGATCTCCAGCAGTGTGTGCATCTCGGGGCTCTCCCCACGCATCAGATCTGAGTTCTCTCCCTCCTCTCCACCAACCTCCACCAGCTCTGTGGCTTTCACCTCCACCTCGCCCTCTCTTATTTTCTTGACATGGAAAGTGAAGGGTGGCACTTTGTAAACAGCTGTCTTGGACCTGGCGTAGATGGTGTGGTCAGGGGTGAAAGACTTTCTCAGCTTGTCCCGAGAGGTCTTCATCTTCTCTCTCCTTTCGTTAGTCACAATCTTGGTACCCAGTTTGTTCATCCTCTTCTCCAGGTTGTGGCGGGTCTTCTCCAAGTTGTGGCGAGTCTTCTCCAGGTTCTCCTTGGTCTTTAGCTTAGTCTTCTCCATCTTCTCCTTTGAGAATGCCTTCTTAAAGTCATCCACCCTCTTCATACCGCTCCTTTTGATGCGCTCTGCCCGTGACTCTTCAATAATCTCCTCAATCTCCACCTCCTCATCCGAGGAGAGCTGGATGTGGTCCTCCTCCATGTGGTCCTCACCAACAGGCACCTCCTCACCCTCACCTTCCTTCTCCAGCTTTTCACCCTCCTTTAAAGACTTGCTGATGCTCAGTTTGGACGGGAGCTTCACTTCATCCTGCAAGACACAGAGCGGAGCCAGTGAGACGCGCACACCCCATGGCCCCAGGAGCCAGCCCGCCCTCCCTCCTCAGAGCTGCTCAGCCTCCAGCCGGCTGAACAGACCCAGGCCTGGGCTCAGCCTCCCTTAGTGCACTTGGTAACGAGGATCTGCTTAGGACTCTCCTGGATTTACACTCCGGTACCAGCTCTGCTCACTCTGGGCTGGTTCCAAACTCATCTGTGACTCCAGCAGTGTGAGAAAGGCAGCTCAGCACAGAAACTGGAGCCTTTCCCTTCCTCTGTGCCCCTGTTACAGTTCTGTCCCCTCCTGTTTCATCTTGATCCCAGGACTGGCCATCATAGCCCCTCACTCCTGGCCCAGGTCTCTTGGTAAGACCATGGGTTGCCCCTGGTCTCTGGCCCAGCCAGGGTCCAGCCCTGGTGCAGCGCAGGGCTGCAGAGTCAGTGCCGACTGGAGCCAGGAGTCCGTGCACACACTGGCCTGACTGACCCTGGTCTGTGCTCAGACTTTCCCAAGGCCTGCAGGATCCAGATGCGGGGCTGGGACATCTCCTGGGATGCAGCAGGCCACCCTGTTTTTCCCATTTCTCCACTGGGGCTTAAGTTACGGAATTTGCCTGAGGCTGTATCTGGAGATAGTGGAGACAGCAGTCTTGACTCACACAGCCCTGTCTGCAAGGTTACACTGGTTACTCAGGACAGGGCTGGATTCATTCAGCTTCTCCACACTCCCAGCCCAGCCAAGTTCCGGATCCCAGCGGCAGAGGACAAGCCCAGGAGAGGGGCACAGGCCTGGAGCAGGATTGGTTTTCATCTGAGCAGCACATAGCGTGCATCTCTGCTGCCATGACTCACTTCTCCCTTCCCGGGACAGGCTGGAAATAGCCCATCACTGCACGATAGCCCTGTCACAGCTGCAGGGCTGCAGCCCACGCTCAGACACTTACTGCCTGGGCAGTTTTAATCTGTGGAGCTGGAGGGAGAGGCAGGAGCTGCCAGGATCAGCACTGTCAGGAGTCCAGCACTGTCCTGACACAACTCATTGAATACGTGACTTCAGCACAGCTTCACCTGGGTGAAATCCAGATGCTTTCAGCTGCTTTCTCATTCCAAGTACAGGACAGTGCTGTTTCTTGGGCCAGCTGAAGTTCTGGATTCACACCTTTGTAAGCAGTGGTCAGCCAAGTCTGTGGAACACTGGGCTCAGAGAGGACAGCACAGAACACAGTGTCCGTGATGAAAACAGAGCCTGGCAGAGCAGGGATTTCCTTCTGGGTTTTGTTCAGAGAAGAAAGCTCTGCTAGGCAAAACTCTTCACCCTCCGGATCACAGCTCAGGTCCCAAACACTTTGTGGAGATTAAGGTGAAGTGGCCAACATATGTTTTCTTCATTTGATGAGCCACTTCAGCAGCAAACAATACACCCTTTCCAGAGGGTCAGGTCAGTCCAGAACAAACCCACATCACAGGGAAGCCAGGGATCCTGTTCTCCACAACAACACCTGCCAGAGCAATCCCAGAGATTCCAGGGGACCCTGCCCTGCCAGCAGAACATCAGGAACTCCAACCGCTTCCTTCCCTCTGAGGCAACACAATGAGCCAGAACAAAGGCATCCCCCTCTCGCCTGGCACGGCTGTCCCTGGAAACTGGCCATATCCTGCAGCCTCTGATCCTATCAGCCCCTTCTGAGCTCCAGAACATGTGTCTGCAGAAAGAAATACCACCTCAAAAACTCCAGGTCTGCCACGTAAATAACCATTTTTTCTCGTGTTACGCGGACACATCCAGGTCCTGACTGGATTCCCTGATGTGGTGGGATGGGCTGTGCCAGCAATGTGCCCATGCAGCCTCGGCAGCATCCTGCAGCCCTTCCCTCGCAGCTGGGTGAAGACAGGGCCAGTTTATGTAGGACAGCAGGAGCAAACCCTGTTGGAGTGCCTGTGGGTCTCCCTAGTCCCACGCCCAGAGGGGAGCAGCTCCCCAGCTCCGTGATCCCACGGGCTGCACTCAGGCACTTCACCTACCCTTCTGCTGGCCCCACACCATCCCCACAGCCCAGCCCCAGCCCAGCAGTGCTCAGGGACCTGCGGCTCTGCTCCTGCCTCTGCCAGGAGGCACCTCATGGCTCAGACCCAGAGCACAGCCCTTCCCATACGTGAGGAATCCAGCCTTCCCCTAGAGACTGTTTCTGAGAGCTTTTCTCCAGCTGTGCTTGGGAAGCCCTTCACGACCTGTTCCAGCCCCTCTCCCACAGGGCTGAGTGCCAAGGCAGCCTGTGCAGGGTTCTCTCTCCCCTAAGCCTGGTGTAATTCCTGCATTTTACCCCCTGATTCTTCCTCACTCTACTGGTCCGAGCAGCAGATAACCAGCTGGAGGACAGCTGGAGGATTTTCAGCACTGTGTGCCGTGGGTCACTCTCCTGACTCGAGCCCACCTGCATCCAGGGAACATTCCTGCGGGCTCAGGCACAGCACAGCTGCTGCGAGAACAGCCACAGCTCTGGCACATCTGAATGGGGATGAGCACCTTCTGCTGGGCATGTACCTCCTCCCGCACTCAGGCACTGCCCGAAAGCCACCAAGGGTCTCCTCTTCCCTGCCTGGGAGGTTTCTCCCGCAGGGAAGGGAAGGAGAAGGGGAGGGGGAGCTGCCTGGTGTGGGCAGGGAGTGCCTGCAGACAGAGCGGTGGAGGACAATGGGACCTGGCTGGAACAATCAAGAACCATCCCGGGTCCACGAGTGGCTGCTGCACAAATCCCTGCTCCGGGCAAGGCACTGTGCCCTCTGCACTCCATTTCACTCATGACTCATCCAGATGAGGCACAGTTTTGACACCAGGCATTCCAGCTGCTCTATTTTTACTGGGAAAACACTGACCCTGGAGTGGGCGAGTCCAGGGTCTTGGCATCCTTGGTGGTCGGGGAGTTCAAACCCTGGCTTCCAGTCAGTAGAAGCAAACCCGTTCTGGACAGCTTGGGTCCAGCTGGCACAAGGACAGTGGGTAAACAACATTTCTCAGAAGAGTTTGGTACCACCATCAGCAAACCCTCGCCCTGCTCTGTGCGCAGCAGAGACAGGGGACAGGAGTGTGTGTAGTCCCTGCTGCACAGCCCTCCCGGGGAAGCAGTGTGCCTCGGGAAGCTCCCTGCCCTGGCACAGCCGACGGCACTGGCAGTCTCTGTGGGCACGTAGCGGGGCCCTGGTGCCCACGGCCAACCCTGAAGGCAGCTGGCTGCCAGCTGACGGGCGCTGGGCTGCTCTGTGCCCTCCTACTTCAGACAGTTCGGAGCTGTTGGATCCACAGCTGCCTCTGCCCAGCTCCCCCGAGTGGGCTTTTATCTGACATTGTTTTCGAGTTCCCTGGCAGTGAGTCACCCGCAGCCCACGGCCATGGACACCCGCCTGGTTGCTACAACACGCGTAAACACTTCCCCTGGCGTATAAAAGGCCAAGGAGACACAGAGCTGAGTTGCATTCCCAGCCTCAAAGGGCTCCTCCGGCACTGCAGAGCCGCCGGCAAATCTGGGGAACACTCCCAAAAGGAGAGAAGAGCTGGATCGCTCCTGTAGAGGCTCTTATTGCCAGTGTGTGAAAAACAGTCCCAGCACTCCCAGCCACTCCAGTCTCTGGTTGGAAGGTTTAATGGAAGGTTCTCACATGCACATGCAAATCACATCTGCAATTCATTTCACTCCGTTATTTTTGCACAACTGCAACAGCACAAACAGTGAGTTTGGTTGGCGTTTGCAGCCACAACGTGCAGAACACAACCAGCTCACATTCCTGGGCTCTGCTGTGGCCAAATCGGGCTGATCCTGACTCTGGGTGAGCCAGAGCCTGCAGCCCCTCCTGCACCACACCAGCTCTGCCTCTGCCCACCCCTGGGGGAGACTGAGGGAGGATCAGGAACAGGGCAGCAAACAGCCTTCCAGGTCAGGGCGAGCCCTGCCAGAGAACAAGTTCTGCTCTCCTGTTGCCATGCTAACTGTTCTGCCCTGCCCGGCCTCAGAGGAGGCTGTGCTGTGCTGACCTTCCAACAGTGTCATGGGAAGGAGGATTCAGCTATTCCTGAGTAACAGCAGAGTGCCTGAGAAGCACCCAGAGCCAAGCAGAGTGCCCTCCAGTGCCTTGGTACAACAAACTTTCTGTGGAGACTGAGATTGCTATCATTCTTGCTAGATCATGAAAAAAATTGCCTTTTTTGAAAGTCTTGTCACCCTCCTTGAAAAGGAGAAGTTTACCCTGGCAGCTTCCCCTGAGACCACAGTTCCTGGGCTGGTTCACCCTCACCTTGGCTCCTGGAATAGTCCTGCCCACCCAGGTGGCTGTTCCCAGCGGACGGCACTGCTCACACTGCTGCCAAAGGGCAGCTGGAGCTCGGGGCATTTTCTCCAGCAGCTGCACAATGACCGGAAGGCAACAGGGCACTGTGGCCCCTGTGGCATGAGATAAGTGTTAAATACACAGCAGTTAAGATCACCACAGCTCCAGTGTGGGCAGGGCCTGACCTAGAGAGAGCAGTGCCCAGGCAGAAACGGGAGATGCTGCAGGCATCAGGAGTTTACATCACAGTTTGTGCTCTCTACCTGTCTTTTGCCTATTTCAAACAACAACTTCATTTCACAAACACAAACCAGCACTCACAAGAAGCCTGAGGAGGCTGGTGTTCCAGGGCTGTGGGAGGAACTGCGGCTCAGAACACAGGTGGGGTTTGCCCAGTCATAGCAGACGCAGCAGAGCCAACTGCCCCTGGCCACTCGCCCTCCATGCAAGCCACACTGCAGGTCCTCCCTCCCACATCGCAGAGACAGCGCACAACGAGTCCCACAACGCCTGCGGGAAAATCCCAGCTCCTCTCCCACCCAAGCAGGGCAGCAACATGCAGCAAGCCAGTTAGTCACGCAGAGGTGTCGCTGCCAGCAGCAGGAGCAGCCTTGCAGGTCTGAGGGCCTGAGGCAGCCTCGAGCAGGAGAGAGGCAAAAGCTCAGAATCAGC